ATCATTATTATTTAATCAAATTAAAATAAATTAATTATAAAGAAAATTAATCTTGTAATCATTTGGAAAATATATTTACAAACAAAAAATTCCAAATTAAATACATTTTAAAAAAATGTAAAAAATATTTATATTATTTAAATAAATTTGAAAAAAATTAATGATTATTTCATAAAAAAAAAGGGAACAACACAAAATTGTTAATTTTAGATAATATTCAATTTATTTATATTTAATAAAAGACAATTATAAAAAAAAAATAACATAATTTAGTTTTAATGAAATAAGAAATTAAATTAATTACAAAAATTATAAAAAAATAAAAATTAATATATATTTTCCAAAAAAAATTGCAGACTGTTTAACAGTCAACCCGACTGTTGACCGACTATTTTTTTACCGTCTTTCACGAAACTCGTCGGAAATCACCATTGCCGACGCCATAGAGGTACAAAAATTACAAAAAAAATCACATTTTTCACCCCAGCATGACCACAATCTAACTACTCATGCTCATAAGATCTAATTAAACCCATTAAATATCATATTATTCAATAAATTAATCGGAACAAAAAATGTAATATTATTTCATTTTGACAAAAATCTGCAAGAAAACTAACCGGTATCGTTCTTTCCGGTGTAGATTGTGCTTCTAGTCGGCGATTTAACTCACTACGACGTTGTTGTAGTTGGCCGGTGGTTGGTCGGTCAATTTTCAGGCGATTGTGCGACGATTTGTCTTTTGGTCGGTCGGCTAGAGAGTTTTTGTTTGACAGTCACAGTCTTGAAGGGTAAAATCGTTTTTTTATTGTAAAGTTTTTTTTTAACTTAATTTTTTTTTAATTCGTTTATTGGATCAAAGGTCAATATCAAAATTTGCTACAGTCCAAAAGCCATTTTTGTGTATTTCCTCCATATTTTGTCCTAAAATAGGAGACAAAGAGGGGCTAAATGTGAAAGACTGTTGATGTATTTTTCGATTAATTGTGGGTTGTATTTGTAATCTTCTCTAGTTCTTGCTAAGTCTAATGCTTCGCGCTTTATAGAGCAGCCTTTCCAGCGGTTTTGCCCTTTTTCGCATTTGAAGTTGCCGGCAATCCTTTCTCCGGTAATATGGTTGGACGAGTTTCTTTCTGCAGCCAGAGCCCGGAATCAGCCTCAGTGCGTAGCATTTTATTTATAAATTAGAAAAATAAAAATAAAAATCAACGCCATAGTCGATTTATTTCGGACCAAAGACCGCCGACGCCGACTCACGGTTTCTTTCTAGACGTCTTGCAGCTCCAGCCTCACTGCCGCAGCATTTGAGTACTGAGGTAATTATTTTTTTATCTTTTTATTTTTTTCTGCAATTTCAATAAGTAATTACATTGTGTATTTTATTCTTTAGGTCTTTTGAGTTTATTTATTTTGCCGCAACTAATCTTTAGCTGGGATTCCCTTACAAATTTGTATTATAGTTTTATTCTTTAGGTGTTTCTTTTCTTTGCTGAAATTTGAATTGATTTTACAATGTTGCTGGAATTTAAATTTTGATTGAGTATGGATAATGGGCCTCGTGCCAGACTTTAAATTAGTTTAGGGTTTCTCTTTGAAATTTGTATGTTACAATGTCCCATATTTTACACTTAAAATATTTTATTCTTTGTTTTTCCTGCCTTTTGAGTGGACACATGATTTTAGTGATTTTTATTTAACATAAATTCAATTTGTCACTTTAAACGGACAGATGGATAAGGTGATTGGAGTTGATGGAATTCATAAGTTCTATCCCATAATTTGGAGGAAGCCACCATTACTTTGAATGGAACTCATTGATTAGAAAAATGCAAAATTGTTACTGTGGTCCTAGGAATTTGATAAAATATCTAGATATGACGTTTGCAGGTCGAGTTTGATAATGTGAGAATATGTTAATACATATGATACTCGGGTGCCTGAGGTAGAATTGCTGTTGGATATTAAATAATATTTGCGATTTATCAAAATATCTGTCTGGAGGGATCGAACATGTATCAGGCAGAAATAGTCGTTTGCAGAAATAATTTGTGAAGTCTTTGGCAATCATTTCTCCAGTAATATTTTTGGTCTGATGTTGCCTCATTTCATAGGTCCAATGCTCCAGCATTTTTCTCTCTATCTCTCTCCCTGCTGACTTGCTCGAATTGTTTTATTGGTGATTTTTTAGTGGTGAAGAAGATGCGGAGAAAAATTCTTTATGGAAGATATATTTGGAATCGAGTCCCCTCTTTAAACCGACCCTTTTGCAGCACTCCACACAAAAATTTCAATAATAAACCGGCCACCGTTTCTAGCAATGGCAATGAGTCTTCTTCTTCTTCATCAACGAGTCAGTATAGTGAGCAATACAAAGCTCTTAATAATCTGGATTTCATGACTGCGGCCAAAATCCTCTTCACTGATCAGCCCAAGAAGAAGAAATTTGGGTACGCTTTTACTTTTCTAAGAGGCATTTTATGACTTTTATTTCCCTTTTTCAGCAAAGAGAAAAAACTGCATTATACAGAATGCTTTGTTTCCTCAAATTGAACACGTTCTCCATTTTGATTGATATTGCAGTTAAGTCCCATTTCAGCTAAGAATTAATTGTATGTTTGATGATTTTCAGATTAGATTTCCACCTGGTACAGCTCTTCTTTGTCTGCTTGCCTTCATTGGGTATTGTATCTCCATTCTTAATCTCAATGTGGACTATTGAGTTTGTAACTCAGACCATAGACCTTCTTGGTTATATCCATTTGCTATTTGAGTTTATTTTTATGTGCTTTCATTTCCGAAACATTGAATATATATGCATCTTTCTCTGCAGCTGTATATCTTGTGGCTCAGTATGCTCGCAGTGAAATGAAAAAAATGGATGCGGTAATCATTTTGTTCATCATTCTTTGTAGTTTACTCTATATATGTAATTTGATTTGCTTTTCATCCGGTTTGCATCTTTTTTCTTTCTCTCATCTATTTTTTTTATTATGAACATAAAATATGATGTCAAAACTTGTCAGTCTTGACAATGAAAATCAACTCACAATATTCAATTTTTTGGTCCATATAGATAATAGCATGTTGTTTTCAATATGCCAGGGCAAGCTTTATCCATGTACCATGGGGAGGGTATCTCTATATGCTTATAAAACAAAATAAGGTTGTTTATAAGCTGTGCAAATAAACTTATAAACAATTTGATATCCTTTTATCTAATAATAGGAAAAAAGTGGATGTCAAAGTTGCAAACTTGATTTTTTGGCACTTAGAATGACCTTACCTAGTTATTGTTTCAAAGTTCTTAAGAAGGAGTTCATATCAATCTTTATCTTGGTAGAAAAGATGTATTACTGTCCCATATGTTTCATTTTACTGTAACAGGTAACAAACCAGTTTCATATTTATGATGGCTAAAATTGTTTATTCTAGCTTACCGATCCTCCTACCTTCCCTTTTGTTTGGTTTATCTTGCAGAACATCTGAAATCCCATTCAAGTGACTTGTATGGTTTTGTCAAATTTGGCTTTCTAGACAGATCTTAACGACCATGATATGAATAACCCAAAAAGGTATATTAAAGGTGTGCTTCTGTGAAATTAGACTCTCCTCATGTTAAGAAGCACATGAATTCCCATATTGACTCTATTGTCGGCAAGCTTTTAGTATTACTGAATTTACATGGGGAGATATTTGTATGTATCTCTTTAGATACTTTTTTGTAGTGGTGACCTTTCTACATCTGTTCTGTTTGGAGTCAAATAGGTTTTCTGGTCAAATTAGTATCTAAAATCTGGTTTCCACTGAAATCTTGGGTATGTAGGGTATGGATATATATCGATATCTTTTAACCCATTTTCTTTATATCAATGGGGAACTTGTGTTCAATTCAAGACATATAATGTATGCATTGTATGGAAATGGGCATTCAACATTTTGGACATGACTGCGGAACAAATCAATTACGTTTGACATGTTTTAATGTTATAGTCAATGCAAATTATGTTATACACCCGCACCCCCCACCCCCCGGCCTTTGTCCTAATATTCGTTGTCCAACAAGGATACTTCAATTTGTTTATTTGGGTTAAAATAATAGGGTTTTGAAGATTGTTTCGAACAGGACGAATTCATTTTTTCTTCATCTTAGAAGCTGTCAAAATTAAAATCTTGTTTGGCTTTTATTTTTCATGGATGTTAATAATCATTACATTAGAACTACTAGCCGTGTGATTTGTTTCATTTATTGGCTTTCGTTAAGGTTCCTTTTAAAATTGTGTTGTCAGGAACTCGAGTTGAAGAAACAAGCTGAATTTGAAGCGCAAGCAAAAGAGATGGAATTAAAGAAAGCCGAAGAAGGAGCAGCTGATCCAGTGCTTAGGGAGGTAAGAGAGAGACTGAACAAGCTGGAAGAAAAAGTAAAAGATATTGTCATTGAATCTAAGAAACAATTAGATGATGCACAAATCGAAGCAAGTAAAATTCAACGTGGATTAGAAGCGGACAAGAGTTCCGAAGTAACCACTAGAACCTCGACTGAAGGGAAGACGAGTGAGCCTGTGCCAAGTACTCCTAGTCCTGGCTCCCAGCATAAGTCCCATGGTTAGAATAAATGAAAAGTAGTCTTCCGTTTATCACACGGTGGTTTTTGAGGTTGCAGGCTCATATTATAAAAGATTCAGTTGATGCAAACGGGCTAAAACCCATGCCTACCATAGATGACAAGTCACCATTGTTCAACAGATGCATGCGGGCTTTGTCGACTGCTGTCATATGAAGATTAACTTTGGATTTGGTTCGCTTTGAGACGTAAGGATTTACTGTTGCCCATAATACAAACATGGATTTTTGACATTTTCAACGAACATAATGGTTGTTTCCTGTTTTATGTTTTGCTAATGCTAATGTAACAAATGGAAATATCATCTCAGTTCTTCATTTATTTAAAGTTTCAGAAAATATATTCTCGACGTGACCATGTTAAGAACCTATCACTTTACATGTCGATTAATATAAATTGTCAGTCGCTTAAGTACAAGTTTAATTAGTCATTTACCAACAAACTAATGAAGTAATGCGGAATAATGAAGTCATGCGGAGCATCTTGAAAAGATGTGAAAACATTATGAACAAATATAAATTATCTTTGAGCCAAAAATAAATAAATAAATAAGAATCAGAGATTTGCAAGATGTATTATTATCGTAAAAAAATAAAGTAACAATAAAACAATTAAAATACATATACACACGGGGG